ATTTAAAGTAAATGCCAGTCCATTTTTATATATTCATTTTAGTACCAGTATTTATTGGTTATAAGTCTAACCCCATCACCAAATTTCTTTTTCAAGTAGGTTTTGTTTTTGTATCAGGTAAAACTTGAAAATAATTGGAGGCATGTTTCAGATCAATGAATAGTAGCACTGTTCCCTGAAAAACTTGTTTCTATCTTGTGGATACTACATCAAGGAATTGACCATGCTTCCCTTTTCACTTTTTTCATTAGGAAACTCAGTGAAAAATTTGTAGCAACTATACAAAATGTGAAAATTATACTTTCTAGCAGAAGTAAATTACTACAATTACTTAGAAACCCTGAAAGTATGAGAGACTAAGTCCAGGGATAAACTTTCCTTATTAAAATACATCTGGTGGATAAGAATTCTGTCCCAGGTTTCAATGGGCTGTCCCTCTGTGCTCTTTCAGGCCCACATGTAAGGTCTTATTGTTGCTCTGCATATATAAAATATTTATTGTATACTCACCCTTCCTTCTCTGCTTTTCAGAATTACTTTTCTCCTACACTCAGTCTACTTATAATGTCCATGTGCCCTGCTCTGGTGGGGTCTCACCCCTACTAGCTCTAAGGTTGTTTTTGCCTTCTTTTTTCCTCTGCTTGTTCTGCCACATCTCTGGTTCCGTTTCTGTCTATATGACATTTGGTTACATTCTCTTCTCTATGTTGTCTCTCTCAGCTTCCTCTTTTACCAAAATGGGACTGTCTGGGACTATCCCTCTCCTTCTTCCCTCCCTCTTTCTTCACGGGGTTTCCTAATTTATGTTCACTGGTTCTCAAACTCTCTTTTTTTTTACAGGGTTTCCCTAGTCCCATCCTGCCTGGAAGCCACTGTGTGGACCAGGCTGGCCTCTGCCTCTTGAGGACTGGGATTAAAGGCATGTGCCACGATGCCTGGCCTTAGAACTTCAGTAATTGTAGATGGTTTGGAACGTTGCAGGTCTAAAACCTAATTACCACTCATTTTTGGCTATCTTTAGCTGCTAAATAGCCATTCTTTGCCCACCTATGTGTCAGACCTAACATCATGTTACTAAAAGATAAAAACTGTTTGGGATGTATTAACTTCATAAAACTCTAGCTTCCACCAACTAAAAGACTGAGTTACTATAACCACCTACTTAATGTTTCCAACAATGTATTTGAAAGTGCCTTGATTTATGACTTTCTTTGTTCTATTATTATAAAAAGGTCACGAAAATACTTCTACATTGAGACATGAATTCGGGGTGACCTAAATCTGTGTTCCTGGGCCATGGTCATTCATATTTAGTTTGTGGTTGGCCCTGAACTTTTCTCTCTGCTATCTGAACTGCAGAATAAACTGCCCCATATCCCCTTTGAGGTGAGAGCTGTGTGTTTGCATTGACAAGGGCAAGTATGGGTACCATGAAGGAGAAAAGTCAGCACTACAAAGAAAACTAAAGAAGTTTCAAGGGGGAAAAAGAGAAAAGGAGAAAAAAGAAAATTTTAAATTTGAGCAACAAGAAATAAGAGGGAGATAAAAATATACATATCCTAGGCTGGCGTGGTAGCGCATGACTTTAGTCCCAGCACTCAGGAGGAAGAGGCAGATGGATCTCTGTGAGTTTAAGGCTAGCCTGGTCTATATAATGACTTCTAGGCCAGCTGGGGCTATAGGGAGACCCTGTTTCAAAAATATCAAAACAAAGCCCCACATATCCTGAGAGAATGGGGAAAGCCAGAGAAAAATTAAGATAAAGAAAGCAGAGAGAAGAGCAAGCTGCCTTAGACAGGAAAAGGTCATATACTCTACAATTTATTTAGGAACACTTGACAGTCACTGGAATAAAGAAGAGAGAGCATAGCATCAACATAGAACATGCCAGAGTCTGACGCAATCAAGCATATTCAGAGTAAAGTAGTGGAGTGACCTACAAGAGAAAAACCTAGTGTCAAGAAGACAAAATCAGACACAATGAGAGAAATAGCTAGATGCCCAGCATAAATAACAAAAGACAGAATGAGGGATGGAAGGAAATAGAGAGGACATACCAAAGTCACTGACTCTTATGAAGAATGTACCAAAAATACTAAAAAGACTCCAGGAAAAAGAGAGCAAAAGTACCAGAAAACAAGAGACCTGACTATGAACCACAAATCAAAGTGGCCCTGTCAGGAAAGGTACTGTGAGAAACAGGAAGGATGAGGGGCAGGAGCGAGAGCTCAGGAGCACACATTGGAAAGTAGGGAACCTAGCAGGGAGTGTAAGCACTCTTATTTGGCTGGGGAGTCACAGGATTAGGTAAATTGGAAGTAATCAGCCTGTCAAAGGGAACCTATCAGGGAGGTGAGGTGGTGGGTTTGGGGACTTTATGTAGTTCAGGTAGTAGAGAGAACAGTTCAAAGGCAATCGCAAATCAATGTACCCTGCAACTTATACTCCAAAGGCAAATAGGGCTCTATTTCTGGATCTGCAAGACTCCTTCCTGATGTTAGTGCATTTTAACTCCTGAGACCTTAGCAGGACACAATGAGGGCCTCTAATACTGAGTGGAAGGAAATTAGAAGAAGAGACAGGGTTAGTCCCTCCATTTCCACAAGGCCAATAAAGAAAAATAAGTGCGAATTTTGAAAAAATTAAATCTGCCTAGAACACTGCATCATTTGATGAACAGGCTCTAAAATGCTGTACCTTGTCTTCAGCCAACTTCTGTTTTCTTTTCTCCTCTGCAGATATTCTCCGACGCTCATCCTTCTCCTTCTGTTCTTTCAGTTTGCGTTGTTTTTCTTCCGACTGTCTTTCGTACTGTAGTTTAGCCTTTCTTTCCTTTTCAAGCAGTTGTTTTTCCTTGTTGGCTGAAATATTCCAAGCACATTTTCAAGATGTAAAAGCCAAGAAAAGCTTTCCACATTACACACATAGAAGACATGAATGTATCCCATTATCTTTCTTAAAACAGCATAACATGCTCTAGTAAATAACCTATACACTTTCTATGGGAGTGAACATAAGGTGTTCAGTTAACTGTGAAACACTGGTATGTCTCAGCCAGTTGATACTCATCCTGTCCAAACTAAAATTCCAAAGTAGAAAGAAGTGTTTTCTTTTATGCGTTATTTTTGTTAATTTGAGCTGGTGTCCAACTCCACTAGACTAATACGCTCTGATAAATGTTTTACTTCTTTCTACTAGGAAACTTCTTCCAAAGTTCTCATCTGTACAGGTGCTATTAAGCATGCAGCTGTCACATGAATGGACTTATAGCATACTCCATTGCAGAAGAGCACACTTTCCTATATTCAGATTTTCCCTGACTAAAACCTAGAGAGTATTCATAACTATGCAGTTGTAAAATACTCTTCAAGACATTACTGTCTATCTTCTCCATTAAAATGATCATAAATTATAATTCATTTAAATAAATTTGAGTAGTCGGTAGATTTAGATCAAAGAAGAAATACACATACTTGTAAACCATGCTCTTAAAGTATAGAAAGTCTTAATGTATACTAAGCCACACTTGAAAACCATAGTCTCATTAAAAAGATACCTTTCTTATGTTTACTTTTAGAATCATTTTCACTGAAATTCCATTTTGCTTCTTTCCACAAATGTTGAACAAATTTTCACACTTCAGGTTTCAGAAAATTAAAGCTAAGAGATACCACTTTCAAAAATTTAATTTAGTCAAAGGTTTTTCATGGGTCTTCTTTATGTGATTAGTAACTTGATGTAATTCAATATAATACTTTTATATAATAAAATATAATCTATCATATAAACAAATTCGGCATAGCAAGTAAAATCAATTCAGAGATATATAACCTGTACATAAAATTTACTCATTTTGATTTAAAGAAAAATGTCTAACATATATACCCTCTTGCTGTCGTTTTCTTTCCTCTCTGCGTTCCTTGGCTAATTGTTGTTTTACATCATTTTTCAGAACAGATCCGTTGATAACTAAAAAAACAAAAAATAATTATACATAATTGTAGTTTGCAATTTTAGAGATAAAACAATTTGAATATATCAAACCATTATTGAAATTTTACCAGGTGCACATGATGATCTTTTATTCGGAGTTGTTAAGGAGTTAACACCACATTTGTGTCGTCTTTCTTCAGCAATTTCTTGAGCTACAGCAACTAAAACAAAGAAGAATAAGGAAAACGTCTTAGAAATTAACAACAGTTAATACAAGCATCAGCAACCCACAGCCTTTAATGATAAAAGATCAGGTCACCTCTATGAGGTAAAATCTGGGTCAACAACAAAAGATGGACTGGACTAAGTACCTATGATGTTCAATAACACTTTAATAAGGTATTATAGGGGCTGGGGAGATGGCTCAGTGGTTAAGAACACTGTTCTTGCAGAAGACCCGGGTTCAAATCCCAGTACCCACATGACAGCTAACAACTGTCCATAACTCCAGCTCCAGGGGATCCGACAGTCTCTTCTGTCCTCCGTGGGCATTGCACGACATGGGTGCACTTACCTACAGGCAGGTGATACACGCATACACATCAAATAAAAATAATAAATAAAATATTTAAAAAAATAAGGTATTAAAGACAGTTGTTTTGGATGTGCTGAAGTATTTATGGACATAGAGATAATTATATTTGTTAGTGTAGTGGCTGCCATAAAGCTGCTGGATAAGTAAGGAGTCAGTACCTAATAGCTTTCCAAAATATTTCAGACAAGATATTACACCAAGTTCTTGAAAAAAAAAATGAGCTGGCAAGGAATTGGGAGAAAAAAAAGTTGTTTCAAAATAAGAAATTAATCAATAGACCTGAATCTGGAAGCAAAATGTTAACAATGAGAGCCTCAAAGATTGAGTCAAATATTGTCTAGGACACTTGAAAATTACCTGTATCAGGAGCTTTTTCTAGCTCCTTACATACTAGTTACCTAATAGGGTTTCAAAACAAGCCTGCCTTTCCCCTCCTGGTGTGGGGCTCAGGCACCTGGAACTGTTTAAAAAACAGCTCTATTCTATTTCTTTTCTTTATGGTACTTGGGATGGAACTCTGGGCCTCTAATATGCTAAGTAATGCACCCTTCCCCCATGGAGCCACCTGCCTATCTCCTCAGTCCCCCAAAGCTCTATTCTGATGCACTGTGAAGATGGAGGACAACCAATATCTAGATTTTTAAAAAAAGAAGGTAAGTAAATACAAATTGCACCAAATACACATTTTGTTTAAAAAGAAAATCGATAAATAAATTTCAATAAGGATGATGTGTAAATTGAGGGCAAGTAAGAAAAACTATAGGATGATATGTAAGGCTTATTATAGGGGATTTGTGAACTCTTTAATTCTATGTATGGCTGCATCTAAAATGGCCCACAGTCCTGACTACAGAGAACACTAAAAACTGTTTTACCTTTGTATAAAAACACAGGAAACATGTCCCTAGGATATGTATGCTACACAAGTCTGGTTATTAAATATCAAGAGATCTATTACAGTTAAAGACAGTCAACTAAAATAATTAAGGGACTAGAGCCCTTGAACTTAAGAGAGTGAATGGACTCAGATGGTAGTTGAAACTCAGGAAGGCTGCCTGGGATTCTTTTTAAACTGTAACATTAGAAGGGACACTGCAATTGCTGCTATAGGGAAACAGGAAAGGGATTTGTAAGTCCTAGGGAACCTAAAAGTGCAGATAAGCTTTGACCCAGCTAAATTCAAAAATTAGACTCTTCTCAGCTTCCCTAACAATTCAACTATTGGTAATTCTGTGGACCACAATTATCTTCTGAAGTTATCTTCTGATTAGTGTAATTAGCACAAATTCTTAAATATAGCCTGTAATGAAACCCTTCCACATGCCCTCACATTTCTATGTAGCGCAGAGAATATAACATATCCTGTAATATTGTTTTTGTACATTCAGGTTTCACACTTAGCCCTAAGGTTAGGATTTTGTATTTGACATAACTAAGCTGACTATAAGAACAATTTCTCTCAAAAATACCATTTGACCAGATTATTTAAAGGTCTTATTAAAAACAGAAGTAGTTGTGTTGTGGATAATGAACCAAATCTCACAAAAGTTAAAGTAGTAACACTAATAAAACTTGATATTTAGGACTCTGGGTCCAAAATTTCACTGGCAAGGAATATATTCACCAAAGGACAAGCTTTAAAAAGTGTTTAAGATATCCAGGCAGTGGGAACGCCCTTTATGTCTGGACTTAACCAAGTGACCTTTTTTATTCAACTTCTTTGAATGAGGAAATTTGTTTAACTCCCAGTTAGAAGTGTGTATTAATTCACACACATATAAAAGTAACAGCAAGGTACAGTAAATATATTATACTATAGAACTTCTGTAGTTATTATTCTACATTTAAACCCCAAATTAATACAAAGGTTATGTTTTGCAGAGACTGAATTAGAAAAAAAGTGTAGAATTTATTACTAAAACTGAATCATAAATTTTAATATTTGTAGTACTTTTCTAAAAACTCTAATGTCTAATAACCCATTTCACTTAACAATTTATAGAATGCAGTGGTACTACCTCATCTAATTCTTAAAACTATCCTAAAAAAAAACCAGGAGAAAACTGAAGATAAATACACATTTCTCAGATCATACAAGGAGTAAGTAGTAAAGCCATAAACCTGGTTTAATAGTACACTAAAAAGTCATGAAGAATAAAATTATGTTGTTTGCAAGAAAATGGATACAACAGATTATCATAGTAAGTGAATGAAATTGGTCTTAGGAAGACAAATATCATGTTCCCTTTCATTGGTGGATCCTAGAAGCAGAAGTGAATCTGTTTAGGGAAGAAAGGGGAGGAATGGGGGTGAGTCTTATAGGAAGAACATGCTCAAAGTGCTTTATATACTAATATGAAAATATCCTCATGAAACCCAGTACTGTGTACAATGAATATATAACAGCAACAAAATCATCTTAAAAAGCAACCCGAGTTTGAAGTGTCAAAGTATTAAGAATAAGCTAATAAGAAATTGAAGAAATTACAATCAGGAAACCACAAAAATAAGGCAGAATCATGGAATTTTACCTAAAAGAGCAACAGCCAAAGTTACAAAGCTGTGAGAGATTTCCAAAAGACCCTCAAGTTCAAAGACAGCATGTCTTGACGATAATAAAGATTGAGGATAAATTTCTACCACTTAGAGCTGTGTACAACAGAATGAGTACTTGGAAAAATATTAGGCTGCCCATTACAGTACACATTCAAGTGTAGAAGCTGCCAGGATTTTCAAGCTGGGATTCTAGCTTCTAGACTAGCTTTAAGATTTTTTTTTTTCTGGCTCTGGAACTCTGCTAATCTGGCTCTCATTCTCAGGAGCTCTTCCAGCATTTATGAACATATTCTTTGAATAAGCTGTTCTAAACTGAGAAATCATGTGGGAATTTAAACAAGAAAAGTAACTAGTCAGTTACAAAGTTGCTTATGCTCATCTGGTTGAATAGTTTTATTCTAAAACAATTGTGTAGAAACTATGAAATGCGTTTTGTTAAAGTATATAGTTCTGTGGCATATTAGCACAATACAATGTACAGAAAACTCATTACGTGTATATACATTTGTATAATGAATGTGTACATATGTTTGTTAAATCATACATATATAAATTTATAGACTGCATGAATGTGGATTCTACTGTGTGCCCACATGGGCAATTTGTTCAGCACACCCTTTTAATTCAGTACTCAGGATTTCAGCGGGAGATAAAATTGACCTTCTAGCAAAAACATTTCACTGTCTCCTTTACTCCTTCAGAAAATGCAGATTCTATGAGGGCAGATTTAAGTAACTGCTGCTCTATGCACGTCCAACACGTGATGTTTTCAATCCCTCATGTGAAAGAGTCAGTTTGGGTGCAAAATAAGGTTCTGGATGAAACTCCTCCCCTTTGTATGGTTTCTAAAGTTTTTAGTTTGAAATGGCATAAATTCAAGCAACTGAACCATAATTTAAAATATTTTGGAACATTCAGTAAACAGATAATGCTAGGAGTATCAGACCATAGATGTTTCAATATATTGAAATACATGCTGGGTAATTTCATTTACTAAAATTCGTATCAGGGAGCCATAGGTGTCAAAAAACAACACAAAAATTTACTACAAACTCTCCAGAGTCTGTAATAAGCTAGAAGCACAAAGAACATTATTTTTCCCCTATGGAACTATGAACATGTACTTCCTCCTGACCCTTTTTTGGAGCGTTGATTCAAAGTGTTGCTTTTCACCTGTTCTACATTAAACTTCTAATTACAAATCAAAGGTCCCTAAGGATTCCAATAGCAAGCAATAAAATCGCTTTATGCATGGGGCAGAGCAGGGGAACTCAAGTACTCTGTGAACAGTCTAAAAGCAACCTACCACGAGCAGGAAATATTACCTCACTCAGGTAGCTTCACAATCTCCTGAACAAAGCAGGTACTGCCAAAGTTGGTAAGATTAACTTTTGTGTGTAGAGTGAAGTTTTGGTGATGGGACCTGTTGAAGAGCATTGCAAGGTGCCTATTGCCTAGTCTCATTTAGTTCACTCTAGGGACTGCAAGATGTCCCACCTAGGGTGACCTAAAGTCACGTGCAACTGCAGGCCAAGTTTGCCATGAGCCCAGTCTCTTCCCAACTACCACAGCCCTAAACCCCAGTTCTTTCCTCCCTTGACCTTGACCCGGAGTGTGTGAATGCCTTGGGATCCAGGGAAAACCCAAACTTCCCGATCCTGGCAGGGTTGCCTGGGCTGCAGAGGCGGCGCCCAGGCAGCAGAAATGGTGCGCGGGCAAGCGCCCGCACATCTCCGGCAGTGGGTGTTCGCGGTTCCCCGAAGGCAGGCGCGGATCGCGGAGTTGCAGTCGCACCTAGCTCGTAGCACCCATTAGTTGCTTGGAGCCTTGCCCACGGGGCCGGGCCGTTGGAAGCGGCCGTTGGGCTGTTGGCTTTAAGCAGGCGTTTCCTCTTCCCGGCCGTGGCCCTGACCCTGGATTCCTCCTTTCCCATCCCAGGGTGTTGGCGGGATGAGGGGAGCACTGGACGGCGCGAGGCGACTCCACAGAAAAGTTGCCCGGAGCCCACTGCGCTGCTCCATCCATCCCTGGGGCGGTGGCAACCCTGCCTCCCCTGAGCGCCCTCGTCCTCCCTATTCCCGCCGGCCCACTCACCCAACCGTTCACGAAGACCCCGCAAGGATGTGTTGCCGTTTGTGCCAGCGAAAGCGCGATCCGCCATCTTCGGTGCCGAGTTAAGAACCACTGGTGGTTCTTTGGCTGCAGAGCGCAGGCGCCGCCTAGGTCTCCGCCGGGGACCTGGCTGGGACCCCGGGGGGGGGGCGGGGCGGGGCGGGGCTCCGACGGTCCCTGCTCTGCCTTGGGACCCTCAATCTAGGTAGCACAGTTCTTCATATGCCACGTTGCTACACTAGCTGGACAGCGACTTACTTAAAGAAACCCTTTCCTATATTCGAGCTCTATCTCTCCTGCGTTCTGGGCGGCAGCCAATCAGCCAATCCTGCGTTCTAGTTGGCATCCAATATTATTTTTCCTTTATTACCTCTACCTAGCAACGCTGTAACATTCCATCTTTCCCCATTCATAAGTTCAGTGCCTTTTTGTATTATTAGGTTACTGTCTTTAAAACACTACATAAAGAAAAGCCCAATTTGGGGAGGAGACGCCCCCCAAACTGACAGAGGCTAGGAGGGGATAGGTTGTTGTGAGGTTCTAGGGGCCTTACCATTAGTTGAAGCTTTCTTGTTTTTGACACTATTGAATCTCAAAGTTAATTAAAACGGCTTTAAGGTGTCTGTGGGCCTTTAATGTGAATGGGAGGACCCCACTACCGTTGATCTTTCCAGATTTAGGAGTAGGTTGTTCAAGGATGCAGAATATTTTTCACGCTCACATGGACAGAAAATAATTGCCCTGAGGTGTATCACTTCATGGGCCCCTGACAGTACAAGGCTGAGGCACTCCTTTTAATGTGTGGGCTGTGACCCACTGGTTATAGAAAAGCAGTTTAGGGCAAGAGGTAAGGTGCAGGAGACTGTTTATGGGGTAAGCACTTTGAGGACCCCCGATTCTTAAAGTGACATGAGAGCCATAAAATGGAAGAAACTAAGGATAGCTAACCTTTAATTTACTCTTTACCATGGCAGTGCTGTCCCAGCAGTAATATATTGACTTATGAATCTCCTACCATTACCATCCCCATCTTACAGAGGAGGAAACTGAAGGAAAGAGACCTTAAATCATTTGTCAAGAGTCACACAGTGACAGTGCTGTAATTTGGACTCAAAATATCTCACTACAGTAGCCATGTGTTTAGTCTTATATGATATGGTTTCGTAAGAAATGAGAAATGGAAAATGGATAAATGATACAAACCAGATTGCATAAGGTATGAAAGTACATGTGACAAAGGCAACCTCCAAAATATAGACACAAGACAAACAAGGCCCCTCCTAGAAAAGCACAAATGGCCAATAAACATTTAAAACAAATGCTCAAATTTCTTTCGTAGTCAATACAAATGAAAATACCACAAAATAACGTTACCCCTACAAATCTGCCACAAATTAAAGAAGAGAATGAAATCAACCAAAGAACCAGAAGCCCTGCTTCTAAGCAAATGCAGTACTACGCACTAAATCCATTGCAGTAGCCATGATTATTACTGTGGCGTGCCTGTGTTTAGGGCACCAGCAAAGTACAATTAGAAGTTCAGGTTTGATGAACTTACCAGGAACTTCACAAACAGAAAATCTGGACAACCCACAAAATCATCTTTGTCATTTTTTATTTTGAAATATTTTATCCATTTACTTTTATTTTATGGGTGTGAATGTATTCATGCCTGCATGTATGTAAGTTCATCCATGTGTGCAATGCCCACGGGGGTCAGAAACAGGCATTGGGTTCCCTGAAACTGGAGTTAGAGATAGTTGTTAGTTGCCATGTGGGTGCTGGGAATGGAACCTGGGTCCTCTGCAAGAGCAGTCAGTGCTCTTAACTGCTGAGCCTTCCTCCAGCCCCATTTCTTATTTTAAGAAAGGTTGATCCTAAATTTAGCAATGAAGGAACATTTAAACAAATCTATACTGCCATAGTCTATAAAAGAACTGGGCACTTCAAAATACCAATGTAGTGAAAAACTGAAAAAAATTTAGGGAATTTTTTTTCAGTTCTCAAGAGACTAAACAGACCAAATGGAATGCATGATCCTTAGAACTCAGACTTGAGAATAACTTTCAAGAGTACTCATCATGTGGCTGGAGATAGAATTTAGTGATAGAGCTTTTGTCTTGCATGCGTGAAGCACTAGGTTAAATTTCCAACAGTGAAAACAGAAGGGCATTCATAACCGAGATAATTGGAAAGCACTGAATATGAATTGTATAATAGATACTACTATATCGAGCTTAAATGTCTTGGATATGAGAATAATGTAGCAATATAGAAAAATGTCTCTTCTTGGGTATGGTGGCCCAGGCTTTAGTCCCAACACTTGGGAGACAGAGGTAGGTGGATCTCTGTGAGTTCAAGGCCAGCCTGGTCTATATAGTGAGCTCCGGACCAGCAGGAAAAAAAAATGCCAACGAATTTAATGGTGAGGACTCATAATGTCAGGAACATACTGGAAAGTGGTTCAGGAGAACAACATAATACATTTCATAAAAGGTTCAAAATCTAGATGGTTTATGCAGTTAATTTTCTTATTCCTGTGACACTTCTGTAGGTTTGCTTTTTTAACCTAAGAATTTTATCTTCAGCTTATTTGTATATATCACCATGATAAAAAATACAAGCTGATGAGCTTGAGAGTTAGCTCAGCAGTTAAGAGCACTGATTGTTCTTGCACAGGACCCAGGTTCCATTCCCAGCACCCACATGATGGCTAACAACTGTCTGTAACTCCAGTTCCAGGGAATCCAATGCCCACTTCTGACCTCCGGAGGCACTGCACAACACGGGTACACTTACACACACACAAGCAATACATTCATACACATAAAATTAAAAAAAAAATTAAATATAAAAGTTGACTGGAAATTACATGTTGGCCAGCACGCTACATAAACTTTTAGTGTTTATAGCCTCTTAAAGTCTTGGGATAGCCAAGGATGTTGGAGAGGGAGGAAAGATAAGATGTCTACCAATAGCTGGGTGTGGTGGCACATGCCTTTAATCCTAGCACTTGGGAAGCAGAGGCAAGCAGATCTCTGTGAGTCTGAGGCCAGCCTGGTCTACATAGTGAATTCCAGGCCAGTTGGGGCTGCAGGGAGACCCTGTCTCAAAAAGACCAAAAAGAAAAAGAAAAAACGATGTCTACCAATAATCAAAAGTAGACAATGTGTGAAGAGCTAGGTAAAAATTAAAATATATTCCAAGAGTTCAGAAGGATGAAGTCATATTTGGGATGATAGAAGAAGTCTTCAGGGAAGAACTGGCACTTTGGTCCTGAGGTTGAGATGCAGAGTTTTGCTTTGCTTCCAAGAGAATAAGTTTATGCCTTCATTGCAGCTCCTGGTTGCTGAGTGGGGAGATGGGTTCAGCTGTGGCCTGACCTCCTGATTTTTCAAATTAATCTGGTGAATCTAGGTTTCACTGTAGAAATCTCTTATTTTAAAATGATGACATTTAGGGCTGGGCTTTAATCCCACCACTTGGGAGACAGAAGCAGACAAATCTCTCTGAGATTGAGGCCAGCTTATTCTACATGGTAAATTCCAGGCCTGTTGGAGCTACAGTAGGGAGACCCTGTCTCAAAAAGATAAAAAATAAATAAAATGATGACATTTAAAGTTTTTCAAAACACTGCAGGGTACACAAAGTGACAAAATATCTTCAAAATATTTAAATTTTTTTATAATTTATAATTTTTTAAATTTGATGTGTACAAGTGTTTTGCCTAAATGTGTGAAAGTGTACCATATACATGCACTACCCACAGAGATGGATCCCCTGGAACTGGAGTTAGAGACTGTTGTTAGCCACCATGTTGGTGCTGGGAACAGAACATAGGTCCTCTGTAAGAGCAGTCAGTGCTCTTAAATTCTGAGCCACCTCTTCAGGCCCAAATCACCAAGTATGTTACCGATATTCAGAATTTCTAATTATCTATTTTTTTAATGTTTGAATAAAAATCCAAACAAGGTCCACGTGTTTCCTTAATTGACAGGCTTTTAGTTTTTTAGACAGTCTCACTATGCATGCCAGGATGGCCTTGAACTTGTGATCTTTCTGAGTCTCTCTCCAGTACTAGGATTACAGTTGTGTACCACCATTCCTGACAGTGATATGCCTTTTAAGGCATGTCTTTTAATCTATAGCTAACCTTTGTTCGAACATCTTTGATAGATTTACTATGAAATTTAGCTTTCATGTTGTGGGTAAGTCGTAGAATGCATCTTTTGCTGACCACCTACTCTGCCTGGAAGGGAGATCTAGAAACTAGGAAGGAAACCCTGCCCTCCAAGTTTGCAAATCTCATCGACTGTAAGCTAATGAATCATATCAGAGTACCCTTAAATGTTTCCTTAAGGCTAGAAAAGCTCCCTAAGGAGCCCCAACCATGCTGTACATTTCTCAGAAAAAGACTGGAACTGAAGGCTGCCAGCTTAGGAAGAGCAAAGTTTATTTGGGAGCCAAAACAGACTCAGAACTGGGAAAGAACCCTGGCAGCTCCTCTCCTTTCCTCCCTGAATTTGGAAAGCATATATTCCCCTGTGAGCAGAAGAGAACTGGAATCCTGCTAACTTTTTGTCTCTTACTTGGCTATTTCTTCCCCTTAAACCTTGAACCAACAAGAAATATATTCAGAAAACACAGTCATAGTAAGTCCAAGAACTGTTTCTTTTTCCAATTAAAGATGAAGTTTTGAAAGATTGACTTTGCATCTAATAAACAGAGAACCTAGTCTGACAAATTTGCATTGAAACAGGCATGACCCCAGTACCATCCTATTTACTAGTAAGCTTGCCAGCAATGTGGTGGCTCTTTCTGGTCATCTTAGGTACTTGTTAGCTTCATCCATTACATCCACAGTTGAGGCAGGGTTATGCTTTTGCATTCTTTCTCGATTCGTCTCTGATTCTTCCCATGCATCTACTGCAGTTTGGCAGTGATGCACAGGAAGTAATGTTTCATTATGGACTCATCTTTGGCCTCCCCTAGCCTCAGGCTCCTTCCTTTCCCCAGACCTGTACTGTCATGCTGCTTATGGTACAGACTTATTTGGGGACCTGATCATTTTTAACTTTGTTGATGACAGCTTTCTCAGCTCCTGAATTTCCACAACTGTAATACCTACCTC